GTGGGAGTCCAGCAACATAGCCATTACGCTAACTGCTGGCCCTCAACTGTGACAACTGACTATTAAGATCAAATAAAAATACCCCTCACCATACATTACCCAGCCCAGGGAATCCCTATGTGGTGTCAAACAGGGACAACTGGAATTGGGGTGATCTGATGAAAACCACCAAAAGCACTAACAAGAGTGTGAGGAGGACATTCGTGTCATTTCAGATGAGTTGAAGACATCCTAAGTATTCATGAGTGAAGTGGGCCTGGGAGGAGAGGTAGGTGCCATCGGGCCGCCCAGGGCCTTTCCCCATTAATACCTTTTATTCCAAAGGTGGGGCCCTGAGACGGCTGTCGCACACATGCAAAGACATTCTGATGAAGATGGGCACCGAGGGCCTGAACCAGTCCGATGGTGGTTGTGCTCTTCCCTTCTCCCAGGGGCGTCGGAGTTATTCTTCAAGATGAAAGCAAAGGACAAAAGAGGAAAAGGTTTACTTATGGAAATACGTTTATAAGAACCACCAAGTCAGATCTAGCAGACCCTGGAGAATTATTCTCAATCTATAAAAGACAGACACAGGCCCTAAAAGGGATATTCCCAAGAGTCTTAGCTGTAATTATGTGAAGTAGCAAATATACTTTACCTGGTAGAGACACACTGCTATAATTTTAATTTCTCAATCTATAATTTTTTTAAAAAAAGAATTATTGGTGTATTTAATTCCATTGTTGTTATTATTTTTTATTGGCCAGAGACAGACAGACTGAGAGAGAGAAAGGGAAAGCAAGAAAGCAAGCCACTAGGTCTGGGACTCAAACCACAGTCAGCCATGTGGGAGTTCAGCACCTGTAACCACCACACCACCTGCTGGCACCTCAATTTACAATCTTAGAAACTATTTTTATTTAAAATAATTATTTATTTAATTTTATTTATCATTATTATTGTTTTTTAATTTGCTACAGGGCACATGTGCTCACCAGAGAGACAGAGAGAGGGAAAGTGAGAAAGCAAGCCACCAGGTCAGGGACTCAAACAGCAGTTGACCATGTGGGAATCTAGTGCCTTAATCACCACGTCACCTGCTGGCCCCTAGAAACTTGGTTTTACGTAACAGCCCAGTAATAGATCTACTGAACGAACAAATAAATTCTAGGCTAAAAAAAAAAGTGATTCAATCTGTAGACCTACTATACGTATAACCCAGATGAACAATCTCTCTGAAGAATTATAATCTACTCTTAGCTATCTCACAAAGATCATTAAGGATTAAATGAAACCAAACATAAGTGAAAATGCTAAAACCAAATTAAAGACACCCCCACATATATGTGCTAGATGCAAATACAACCACCAGTAATTAATCAGGATTAATACTGAGATTCAGTTGGCAAAGTTAATGAAACACACCCAGTTACCACCACGTATTTCCCATCTGTCTGGTGCTTCAGGCGTTCTAGTGCTGACAGCAGAACTTTGGCCTTTGTTTCACCATATAATTCTACTTCTTCGGAGAGCAGACCAATTTCTCGAGCCAGGTTACCAATGGGCTTCGGTTTGCAAGACCGCGATATAGCAATATCACTTTAAAAACAAAGAAAAGAGATTATCAATGTCTATTCACTTTACTTAACTAATCCCACACTAGTAATGACCCTCCCATCCTGACCCCAACCACTGATGGTGCTTTCAGAGGGAGCACACATGTACCTATGGTATCTGCCAGCTGAAAACAAACAGCTCACAGTTTTAAATCAGCAGAACTTTCATTTTTACCTTGGAACAGGTGTCTTGAGGTGAAGGCTGTTATACTGAATTGTCCACTTTCCTGTTTTAAATTTCTCTAGGAAATGCTTTGCACTTTCTACTGTGCTCTAAACAAAATAACAGATGGAACTTAGAAGAGGTGATTATTTGAATCCCCACCTCAAACCCCAGGCTACCCCAGTTCAATCACAAAACTGAGCATTCTTCAGTTCTAGGCAACAGTCTACAGGCACCTACTAGGTTGTTGGGAAAGTCATGAATATTTGTCTATGCTTTTCTATGGGAAAATGTGTCATGATTTTCCTGACAACCCAATAAAATGCTGAGGTAGGGAGGGACAGCAGGTGGTGTAGTAGTTAAGGCACTGGACTCCCACACGGTCGACCACGGTTAAAGTCCCAGATCCAGTGGCTTAAAACTGATACTAGGGACATGTGCATGTGTACCCAAAATCCCTAGAGGAGAATGGAGAAGGGACTGCAGTATGGCCATCCGCTCTAGAAGGTGATTTCTTGCTTTCTGTCTCTGTTTCTCCAGTGAGTGCATGTGTCCTGTAGCAAAAATCTCTCCACAAAAACAAAAACAAACTAGCCAAATCAATGCATTTGCTCTTTTCAATTTTTGAAAATTAAGGTTTCTGACTACTCTTCCTATTCTTTTTTGTTTTTGTTATATGGTACGTGTGCTCCCTAGAGGGAAAGGAAAAGTGAGAGAGAGAGAAAAAAAACCCAAAGGATATGGCCATTCTGCAATCCTCTCTCCTCCATTCTCCTCTCAGGATTTTGGGCATGCACGCACACACGTCCAGCATATTTTCCAAGGTGCTGGGTCCAGGACTCAAACCACACAGTTGGTAATATGGGATCTGGTGGCCTTAACAACCACACTACCTGGCTGGCCCTACTCTTCCTATTCTAAGTTTCTTCCCAAGGGGTCTACAGAAATCACATTTGAAAACATTTATCTTGCTCTAACAAACCACTTTGAGTCAGTGATTATGGGATGCTCACTATAATCTAACTCTAACATAGCATCACATGATATATAATGAAGCTTTCTTATCTCTATTAAAGTTAAACTCAGGCATTTTTTTCTGTTCACTTTGAGTATATCAAAGACAAAGGCTTGTGCTTTTAACCATCCAGCAGCCTAAGAATTTCTAAGCCCTCCTGCTTCCAAATGTTCTGCCTTTTTGGGACAGGCCAATGTAAAAGCCCTATACGTTGATTTACGATTCTGTCTGTGTCTCCTGCTCTCAGAACTAAATAAAAGAGTTGATGAATCTAAGTATCCAAAACATTTTCTCTAGGCTACCAGAGATTGTTTCTGGGCCTTGGTCACTCATATTCATGTTTAGAATAAACCGTCTTAATGATTTCTACAGTGCTTGGTTATTTGTGTCGACAAAATTAATATATTCCAAAGGAAACTAAAATCGTGCTATCCTTCTATTATCATGACTGATAAAATTTATCTGATCTTCCATTGCCTTTTTTCTTCAACATATTCACATTTTTATTTAACTTCTGAGTGGGTTTTATGACATTTATACTTGAGGAGAAAACAGTAACTTGAAATCCATCAGCTTTCAGAATGATCACAGAAACTTATTCAAAGGTACCTGCATTAGCATTGCAACTGTCATGGGCCCGACGCCACCAGGAACAGGGGTGATGAAGCCTGCCCTCTCTTTGGCCTCATTGTATGCCACATCCCCAACCACTTTTTTCCCATTTGGTTTTGTATCATCTGGTCCAGGGAAAAAGAAATCAAAGCAAAGTGTCAGAATCTCAATCTTGGTGCTTATTTGTAAGTTAAATCATCAATTACGATAGTTTGTTCCCAAAACTTAAGTAGAATTTTAAGGTGTGAATCCCATCAGGCTCAAGTGCCTAATATACTTAAAAGCTACAGAATCACAGATGTTTGCTAGGCCTTAGGGAGCAAATTCTTTTACCTGTGACATTTACCTGGTTTTTCAGGACCAGGAGAATTCTTCTGTGGTTCCTCAGGTGGCAACTGGTTTTTATTCTTAAAACCAACTAGTATATAATGAGTGCCTTTTCAAATGTTAATTTGTCAAGGCCTACAAAGGAATTTTTTGGGTGCACAAAGCTCCAACTATGTCACAGCTGCCAGACACCGTTTCTACAGCAACTGTCAGCATTTTGTAAGCTCCATGCATAAGCTGGAGGAACAATTCAACATCCAGTTCCAAAGACGAGCAGCTACTTAAATGTATGCTAAACGCAGAGAATATAATTACCTTTCCCTTAAAAGGATAGAAGAACAACTACAAATCTTACCAGCAAAGAATAGCTATTCAAGAGAACAAAACCCAATGATGCATCATTGCTCACTCACAAAAAGAACATCCTACACTTGGCTTCAGTGCGCTTCTGGGTGGGGCTGGCGGACAGGCCTAGACCTTGAGGCAGTAAGACTTCTGAGGCAGAATCTGGTAGAATCTTAACTACATCACCACTTTTTTAAATCATATCTCACAACTGAGAGAGAGAGCTTCAGGGTGTTGCCAAAAACAAAAACAAAAACTACACACAAAGAAATACCCACCAGAATTAAGAGACCTAGGCTCTAGGATCTGCTTTCCTACAGTTAGTCCTCAGCCCTGTCCCGTGGGCTCCATATTTATTTGAAGTCCAGCGATTCAAAGAAGGATTAACACTACCTACCTCACAAGCTTGCTGAGAACCAAATGAGAAAATATGCACATTCCTGAAATTGAAAAAGCACTCTCCAAACATAAGGTTTTTCTCTTCCCACCCTAGATATGTAAGGTGGTTTTTATATGTACTAGAAGGAGCTGGAGAACACAACTGCTGGGATAGTTACATAGAAAATTATAAAGGCACAAACTACAGCAGAACACTCCTCTCATAATTGCTAAACGTGTTTCAAAATGCCAAAGAAATATAATTATGGGTTTGCTCTTTGCACGTGTTTCAACAGTTTAACACTGAAATTAGCTTAAAATACCCCCTGTGTCTCCTTCTATTTGTTAATGCTAGTCATTTTAGTTTCTCCATAGACAGGAGACACCGTACCAGTAATAACAGAACAAAATGCTACATTGATGAGCTTAGTGTTGCTCTCAAACCAGACCTCTCAGGGTTGACTGGTAAGCCTGCTGATGTAAATGCAGTGTTTCATAGACAGTATGATGTGGTCAGTGGAAAAAACAACAACTTTCTCTACTTACGTATATGCTTGCAGTAACCAGCATCTTGGTTATCTATCCCTAGCCCTAGAATTTCTCTTTCATTGGAAAATTACATGTAAAAATCTAACTTAAGACCCAGCTGAACCTTGATGCCTTCTTCACATTTAATTTTGGGACCCCTCATCATAAGGGCCAGTACAGAAGTCTATAACTAAACTGGACAGGATGGGAATGGATCAGGATAGGGTGGGAATGGCTCAGGATTATGTGGGAAATCTGTTCCCTCTTTTTATAATCCTTCCAAATAAAATGCTATAAATCTAGGCCTTCTCAAACTACCTTTAGTTAGCAGGATACCACTTTTACATGTTTCTCTGGCCAATACTTTTGGCTTTACATTTGAATCTTTAAAAATATTTTCCCTTGGGACCAGTGGATGGCATGGCGGTTATGTTGCTAGACTACCATATATTCAACTGTGGTTTGAGTCATGGACCCGGTGACTTAAAATTCACGTCAGGCATGTGTGCATGAGTACCCAAAATCCCAAGAGGAGATTGACGGAGAAGGGACTACGCTGTGGCCATCCCCCCTGGGGGGTGATTTCTTGCTTTCTGTCTCTCTCTGTCTCTGGTGAGCACATGCAGCCTATAGCAAAAATCTCCCCCCCCCAAAATTCCCCTTTTTAGAAAAAACCCTACACACTTTAATTCATTCTTTTTTTTTTTAATTAGAGAGTTTTTGTTGTTGTTGTTGTTTTGTTTTTGCTATAGGGTGCATGTGCTGACCAGAGACAGAGGGACAGAAAGGAAGAAATCACCCTCTGGAGGGATGGCCATGCCGCAATCCCTTATCCTCTTGGGATTTTGGGCATGCATGCACATGCTCCCTGGGCAAGTTCCAAGTCACTGGGTCCAGAACTTGAACCGCAGTCAACTATGTGGGAGTCCAGTGATATAACCATTACGCTATCTGCTGGTCCCTAATTCATTCTTAATTTGGCAAGAGACTTTCAATGTTATCCCTGAATGGACCATGCAAACAATGATCATAATAGAAGCCTCAAGAAGTGGCCTAGTTGTGGAATGAACTAGGTTCTACAATGAACGTTAACAAAGAACAGTCTTTAGGTCCTGTAGCCCACCCACTGGCCTGTCACTCAGTGCTTCAGCCATCCTCGGAGCACGATAGCATCGAGTCTTTTGAATATCTATTTGCTCATATGCGTAAAATCAGTAAAAAACACTGCTGACCAGGAGAGAAGATAGTGCTTTGATTTTATTACCATCTATGTACAAAATCCATGTGAATAGGATGGTAAGTGTCATGTTTAAGTCAACATTTCATACCTAGCTACAAGTCCCTAGATCCCTACCCAGATTTTTCTTCTCCTGCTCACATCTAATCCAGAAAACACCAAAAGCAGAAACATGATATAGAAGATGCTAGGTTTTAAAGACAACGAGTTTGAATGTCATATTGCAAGTATTTAAAGTGAGGAGTTGTAGGAGAACAATTTCTTTATCACCCATTAGATAATTACACTACAAGAAAATGAGTGATCAATTATGAGCTACTGTCTTAAAAGCACGGTAAGGAGAGTGGGAGGGAGGTTAAAAACGGTGAAGACTGACAGTGACTAATGTTCCTGGCAGCTCAGTGTCTACATTTCAAACTTGAGATGGGAAGGGAAAAAAAATTTATCCTTCCTATAACTCCCTCCAACAATTCAACAACTCTGAATGCCATAGTCAGAAGGCAGATATCTGGACAGGGCACCTCACAGACTGCTGTGTGAGGTGCTGACTATCTCATGAAGACGCCACAGAATACCAACACAAGACACACATGGTAAAAGAAATACCAAGATCTATAGGAGAAGAAAGAGAGAAAAGAGGATTTGGAGAAAAAAAATAAAAAAAGGAGATATGAAACCTTGGTTGAGAGGAAATCAGACAAGGTTTAGAAGGAACAGACCTGACAGAGAGGAGGTGGGGAAGAAGCAATGTAAAGTGAAGTTCACGGATGAGGCCTATTCAATTGTGTAGTCCAAGGTTTAGCGTGGGGATTGATACACAGAAGTCACTGCTCAGCTAAAGAGTGTTTTCTTCCTGAATCTACAAGGTATTTGCTGTATTCTTGAAATTTTCTTTGAAACAACAGCCTGCTCCACTGAGGATGCAGCCACAGGAATTGCAAAAAGATAAACACAACATGTGCAGGGAAGGGGGGTGGGCCAGCTGACAATAGTTAAGATGGGTATTCACAAAGTGCAAGTGAGATAAAAGGCCACTGAAGTGCACTGAAGCTAGTGCGAGGCTATGAAGCAGTTTGGCAGCAAGAGGCTCAAGGCCTGTGTGAGAAGTGAACCTGGGGGAACCAACAGTTAGCGTAATGGTTATGTTGCTGGACTCCCACGTAGTTGATCGCGGTTCGCGTCCCAGACCCGGTGGCTTAAAACTCGCGCTGAGCACGTGTGCGGGCGTGCCCAAGATCCCAAGAGGCGAATGGAGGAGAAGGGATTGCGGTGTGACCATCCCCCCTGGGGGGTAATTTCTCGCTTTCTGTCTCTATGTCTCTCTCTCTCTATCTGTCTGGTGAGCGCACACACCCTATAGCGAAAACCTCTCAAAAAAAAAAAAAAGAAAAAAAGAAAGAAAAAAAGAAGTGAACCTGGCAAGGCCGGAGCATGCAGAGAGATCTGAGTGGGACCCAGCTGGAGGCAGGGAGACAGTCACAGCCGTTTGTCTAGCTGAGAGGGTAGCACTCAGGGGTGATGAAGAAAACTGACAAGGGAGAAAACATTTCTAATATTTAAAAAATGATTCATTACAGGGAAAGATTGGGAGAGAAACTAAAAGGTTTCAGACCAGCAGGAAAGAATGAATGGTGATATTAACTAAAAGAAGGGAATGAAGAGTAACTTGGGAATAAGGACGCTAACTGCACTTGTGGACATGACTGAGAGGCTGGATTTATCCTCTCTGCCAAGAAGCAAACCCAGGTCAAAGAACTCCTTTGTAGAATGCTCCTGGAGAACTCTTGGCAAAATGAGCCTGTCTTCTGGACTCTCACAGCACTTTGCCACAATTACACTGCATTTGAAATCCACCCTTTACCTTTGTTAAAGTAACGGTGAAGTCTACATGAAGATAAAGGATACCTCTCTCCACTCCCTCTCCCCGGACGAGGTCAGTGCGGGAGCTGCAGAGCACAGTGCTGAGAAGCACAGGCCGTGACATCCAGCACAACTGCCTCCAAGTGGCACCTGTCCCATCTAACTGTGTGCACCTGCAGGCAGGTCAACCTCTCTAAACCTTAGTACTTCAAGTGTAAAATGATACAAGACATTCTCTGCCAGGCTTCACCTGCCCATCCCCACATCATCTTCTACCTGGCCCTGAACCGGAAGCCACCTTCCTCCCCCAGCAACACTGACCTGGGATATAATTGATTCCACAGTCGATGACGATTGCCCCGGGTTTGATCCACTCCCCCTTCACCAATTCGGGCTGACCAGTTGCAACCACCAGGATGTCACCTTTATTTATCTAGAGAAAAGGGATTTAGAGCTCAGAAATTAAACAGTGAAACACACACCCAAAAAATCTAGCAATGGAATGAACACCCCTGAGCTTTGTGTTAAATTTTCATTATTGTCTCCCGTTTCATAGCATATTGGGTTAAGGCCTCAAACACAAGCCACACACCATTTCTGACAGCCCTTCATATGCTGGGCTCATTCCTACACATGCCAAAATGCCCCCTTTCAATTCGCATTTTACAGGTGGGGAAATGGGTAAGAACCTGCAGGGTGGAGGGAGCACAGGCTTGGAGCCACAGGCCTAGGATGGCATCCCTGGATGACACAGCATCCAGAGGTGGCTCTTTCCTCTACAGAATGTGGGTGCTACCACCTCTCGCTGAGCACTGCTTTGGGAGAGCCGAGAGAAAAGGTGCTGGCATTTCTCCTGCTCTCTCCCCATATATAAGAGACTGCACTGGCAAAAGGAACACGCACATCTGAGCCTTCCTGGGCTCCAGAATCAGATGCAGAGGTTAAGAACAAGCTGCACTGTTGGTGAGAATGTTAATTAGTACAGCCACTGTGGAAATTGATATGGAGGTTCCTCAAAAATCTACAAATATCAATAGAACTACCATATGACCCAATAATCCTATTTCTTGGTATTCACTCAAAGAACAAAAAAACAGAAAGACACTTGCACATCCATGTTTACTGCAACATTGTTCACAATTGCTAAGACATGCAATCAACCTAAATGCCCAAGAACTGATGACTAGATTGAAAAAATGTGGCATATATACTATGCAATATACTACTCAGCCATAAAGAATGGAGAGATTGTCATTTGAAACAAAGTGGATGCAAATAGAAGACTTAATGCTACATGAAATATGCCAGAGTATGAAAAACAAACACGCATATTCCTGCTCAATATATACTGAATGTCTACACTCTATGGCAGAAACTGAAAGATTCAAAGATAAAACAGCATGGAGGACAAGTGTAGATACCATAAACTGTATGGGAGAAGGATGGTCAGAGGGGCTCCAAAAAAAAGCATTTAACAGACACATGAAGGTATATACTAATATCCTTGATTTAACTATCACACGCTGTATGCATGCTATTATAACCCTATTATACGGCATAACAATATACAACTCAATGCAAATAAATTATAATATAAAATTGGAAAAAGAAAATGAACCAACTGCTACAGATGTCTTGTGATCACTGCTTGTGATCTCCTGTGGAGCACTCCACATCTGAGGCCGCCACTGTCATCCCAAGGGGTCTAGCTAATGAGGGCAACCCCTCTACTGCTAATCTCTGTCTACCATGAGGTATACCAGGGTAAAAAGTGTATGAGCAGAACAAACTCTATATAAACATGTGCAAGTTTTCAATTCGAACTTGCTTCTTCATCTTGTAAAACAAGAATCACAGACTTGTTACAGGAGTTTAATGAGATAATAAAGATTAGGTACGTAGCAGCATCTAGTACTTAAATGTTTTCGCTAGAGGGCGGGTGCCACCATGTCCTAGCACTTATATATTAAACTATTCCCATTATGTGAAAAGAACCCAACACACACACACACACACATACACACACACATGGATGAAACTCTTTTTCCTCTACCCTGGACGCCCTACCTCCTTGTCCAGGTTGGCCGTCTTGGAATGGCAGGTAGTCACTGTGGCATTGTTCCACAGAAGCAAGTCATGCATTGGTGCACCAACTATTTTACTGCGCCCGACCACCACAGCATGCCTTCCAGCAATCTGTACCCCTGAAAGAAAAGCCAGTGTGCATATCAGAGTTGGGGAAGGAAAATGTTCTCTTTTGCATGCCACCACAATGGGAAAACCCAGAACTACAAGTGCATAAAAACTGGTTCACCAAACAGAAACCTTCCTAAAAACATTCTTTCTTCAGCAATAATGTTCTCAACTCTAGGGTTTCAATTACAGATCCGGACTTGTGCATGTGTCTTCCTTGCTGTGGGATTTTGAGAGCAGCTTTAGCCAAGAGCCTTCATTGAGTCATAGCAGAGTGGGATGAAAACCTACACTCAAAAAAGAAACCCTGACACACAGCTAAACAGCCATATGGAAGAAGAGATCAGATTAAATTATATGGGGAAAACAGTTATAACAAATAGGGTGTATGTAATGGGGTGGGGAGAAATGAAGGGAATCAGATTAATATCAGCAATTCTTTCCAAATTTGTTAAGCTTATTTATGCAGCTCCTCATTCACATTTCTCTTTTGGCTTAGGGCCTGAGCTATAGGGTTATTTGCAGAGAAGTGAAAAGAGAAATTTAACTGTAGTAGGTTTCTTTTTGCTTACACACCATCCACCGTTCTGGCAAGATACCCATGACCTTCTCAGGACCAATTCATACTCTACTCAACAGGGATGGTTTGGGTGAGCACCCAATAGTGGACAAGTGACCATATTGCAACTCCTCGCCCATGAGATCCAATCTTTCAACTGTGAAGCATGAGGATGGAGCTGCTTGGGGTCACCAAGAAGACCCTGAGACTGAGCTGCCCATGCAGAGGAAAGCAGAGAGAAGGTCTTATGGATTCTATCTGAGCTTCTGTACCCAGGCAGGACTGAAGGCAACAACCCTTGATTAAGGCAGTTTGTGTTTATTGATAAATTATACTTCTTGCATAAAAATCAACTTCAGCAGAAAAAAATAAGCTCTTCTATAATGTTAACATCATGAACATGTAGAGGTAAAGACCTCAAAGTTTGAAGTGTTTAAAAGGTAATTTACTGGGGCCAGCAGGTACATGGTAATTAAAGTACTGGATTCCCACATGGCCCACTGTAGTTCGAGTCCCAGACCTGGCAGCTTGAAAATCATGCCGGGTATATGTGTGTGTGCCCAAAATCCTGACAGGAGAATGGAAGAGAGGGGATTATGGCATGGCTATCCCCCCAGAGTGGTGATTTCTCATTTTCCCTTTCTCCAGCCCTCTCCAGCAAGTGCACACACCCTATGGTAAAAACTTAAAAAAAAAAAAAAAAAAAGAAAAGAAGAAAAAGAAACTTACTATATCTTTTTTTTTTTTTTTTTTTTCAGTTTGCCATAGGGCATGTACACTCACCACTGCCATTCCTTCTCTTTTCTACTCTCAGGAATTTGAGCATGCACAAGTACCAGGCTGATTTTCAAGTCGCTGCATTCAGGACTCAAACCACAAAGTTGGCCATGTGGAATTCAGCCCCTTAATCTCCACGCCACCTGCTGGACCTGTAGATTTTAGGATTTAGCAGAAGACCTGAACCTGCATTAGGGCAGATGGTAGCTTCACCATCAATAAGAGAAACTGGGACACCTGCATCTGCTCTAGCTCCAGGGATTTGTTGCTATGGAACTGTGATATATTATTTGCTAAATATGCTTAAGAATGTACAGTTAGGGGCTTTGTTTTTCACAAAAATAAACTGCTTTGGGAGCCAGCACAGTATGGTGGTTAAGGTGCTGGATTCCCACATGGCAGACTGTGGTTCAAGTCCCAGATCTGGCGGCTTGATTTCTCACTTTCTCTCTCTGTCTCTCTATGGTCACATTAAAATAGATAAATAAAGTTAAATAAAATAATTATTTTTTAAAAATAGAATATACATTTTGTTGTAAGACTGAACTGTAACAGCTGTCCCAAGGTACATGGCTTGACCTTTTCTTGCCAACCACAGAAAATTTTCATTTGTGGTAGTCAAAACTTTCCACTTGAAACTTCTGACCTACTTCTCACTGTGTGTGTGTGTGTGTGTGTGTGTGTGTGTGTGTGTGTGTATGGTTTCCCTGAATTGTGATCTCCTGCTTCAGTCTCCTGTGAGGCTGAGACTACAAGTGCACGACACATCTGGCTTTTTAGAGTCGACCAGGAACTGAACCCAGAACCCAGGCCTCCTATGTGGCCTCAGCCTGCTGATCCATGCACACTACTGCTGCTGGGGCTGACCTACTTCTCAACAGGATGCAACTCCTTGTAAAAAAAAAAAAAAATAACCTCTGCTAAAAGTACTCATAATGAAATGAAAATACCAGGGTTCTAAGTAGGTAATGGTAAGATGCCAAGAGATGTTTCTAGCCATCTGTCTAGCCTTAGAACTTCTGTAGAGAGTCAGCGTCAGTTTCAGGAATGTAGATTTTTCACTGGGTACACTTTCATATTCTCTGAATTCTTATTACCATATAGGTTTTTTGTTTTATTTTATTTATTATTATTTTTTTTCCACAAAAATAAACTGCTTTGGGGGCCAACATGGTATGGTGGTTAAGGTGCTGGACTCCCACATGTCAGACTGTGGTTCAAGTCCTGGACTTGGCAACTTGCTTTCTCACTTTCCTCTCTATTTCTTCCCTCCTTGTCTCTCTCTGGTGATAATACATAGCAAATAAAAACAAATAATAATATTAAATAAAATAAAATCATTTTAAAAGTAAATAAATAAATTGCTTTGAATTCAATAACCTTGAGTTCAAATCTTGGTTTTACTCTTTTGGGTAAGTTACTCGATCTCTGAGCCTGTTTTCTTACCTATCGAATAATACTTGCACTACTTCACAGGAGTGTTGAGAACACTGAGAACTTAAATAAAGCCCCTAGTAGACACGTGCTTCTACCAATTAAATTCATTTGTTTACAGATCATACTGTACCTCTTAAATACCCCCACATATCAAGAGCAGGCTCTAAGAAATGGTGCTTTCCATTGCTTGGTTTGTTTTTTACCTGTCTCTTTGATGAGTTCCAAGCATCCTTTAGGTGTACAAGGAATGAAACAGTCATTTAGGTCACCTCTAGCAAGTTTTCCAGCACTGACACTAGTCAATCTAAAATAACGAAGAAGCAAAAATAAGGAGGAAATAGAGGTAATTAGGTGTCTTTACTCTTTAGAGGCAAATATGGTGTGCTCCTGAAATAGAAATGTAACACAAATGGAATCATGCAATGTGAAATAGGAAGCCAAGCTACACTCACCCATCCACATCCTTTTCAGGTGCAATAGCGTTGATCACTGTTTCAGTGTTAATAGAATTCTCTGAATCTAAAGGTAACTGTACGATGAAACCATGTACAGTGGAGTCTTCATTCAACGACATAATGTGCTTTAACACCTAAAAGTAAAACCACATATAACTTGTATACCACATAGAAATCAAAAGGGGGAGAAACACTTGCCAAGACAAAAAAAAAAGAAAGAAAAGAAAAATCACATTTCATTTCCCCCCAAGAGTTTATAGTACCTCCCCCTTGAATCCTGAGAGACTCTAACACAAAACGTATCCCCCAAGCATGTGGTAAGACACCAATCAAATAAAAAACCCAAGAACTTTAATACTTATTACTACAACAGTAATACCCATGTTATAATCATCTGAATCAAGACCCAGAACAGCAATGCCCAATAATCCTTTCTGTGATGACAGAAATGTCCTATAATTTGCACCTTGCAACACAACGGCAGCTATTACATATTGGAAACAAACTAGTGCAAAAGAGGAGGTCAATTTTTGATCTCGTTTCATTTTAATTGACTCTCAATAGCCCCATGAGGGTGGTTGTGGGGACACGTTTAAGAGAGAGAGTCTGAGGTGTGGGGACATGCGCTGAGCAAACACCACCTGCTCTTTTGGGGTTTGGCAGAACCTTGTAACTTGTCTTTCCCTGACCTTGGCTGCAGACAGAGCAAGGGTGGAAATTGCTAGGGGCGTTCCAACAGACACATCTGATGGACTTCAAGAAACATCTTGACCCCAATTAATAAAATCCAATCCCTGCTCCGCATCTGAAAGGTTCTTTAGACTTCTCTGGGTGTGGTGGTACACTCCTTATAGAGAAGTTCTTTAGCTCCTTCTCCACACCTAACAGCTAGTTCTCTGCATTAGAAAAGAAGATGAGATTTTCTCTAGATGGGATTACCACCAAGGGATACACCTGGCCCCTGGTATGACTAATCTCTTATAGACTTGTTAACTGCTTCTTATTGTCTGTAACCTGGCAACCAATCCATGAAATGTCATGAAACATACATGTGTAATGTCTCCTTGTACTATAAATAAAGACATCCAGTTCATCTGGGCGGCACAAGTTGCTTGAGCTACTTAGGCTCAGGCTGCCTGTGTCCGTTTCTACTCTCTCCCTTTGTCTCATTCTTTCCAATTCCCAGGTCCTGGCAAGATGGAGGGCTTTCTCTTTCTCGTCCTCTTTCTCTTCCTCAGCAGCAGCCCTCTGATCATGATTCAGCCAGACCCAAGCCCTGGGGCGGACGCCGACAGGTGGTGGCTACCATCCCGGATAGTGCGGATGCAGTACATTTCCATGACCTCAGAAGGTTCCTTTCCTTTCCACCCTCTTTACAGTTACTCCCCCTACTCACAGGCAACCACTGTTCTGACCTGAGCCACCACTGATCTTGAACATCAATATAGATGGAACACATATTTGGTCTTTTTTTAATAATTGTCAGAGGGTGCATGTGCTCACAAGACAACAGAGACAGAGACAACAGGAAAGTTCCCTCCAGTGGGGCATGGTCATGGCACAATCTCTTTGCCATTTCTCCATCCTATTAGGATTTTAGGCACACACGCACATGTACCCAGTGTGTTTTTCAAGTCGCTGGGGTCTTGTAGGATCCAGCTCTCTTAACCATTAGGCCAAAGGACTAGAACAATACTTGGGCTTTAAAAGAATCTCTTTCAATAAATATTGCAGGTGATCTAGAAGCAAATAGTGCTGCAGTAATATTTTGAAAACCAAATGTTCACACCCCAGAACACCAGTTACTTTGTGGGTATTTTCAAGGATCTTCTAGAGGTGATGCCTATGAAGAAAAAATTACCTGGAGATCTGACATATGCAAAATTTATCAGTCCCTAAAGTTCCTCTACGAAAAACCTGAGAGGGAAGCACTGCGACTGCCCTCTGTGCAATCGATTCATAATAGCTCACCTCGGCTTCTGTGGATTTTCTTGGTAACTTAATGTGAGTAGCTTTGATCCCAATCTGTAAAAATGACCATTTAAAACAGGTAAATGGTAACAGACCTTGAGGTATGGGTCCATTTCTTTAATGCTCTGACTAAAACAAATTAAGAAGTGTTAGTCATCATTTCACCCTATGGGTTCTGAAGAATTTGTCCTTCTTTTCAATCCACTCAGCATTCACTTTACTTATTTACTTATTTATTTAGAGAGATTCCTGCTATAGGGCACATACACTCACCAGAGAGACACAGACAGCAAGCAAGAAATCACCCACATGAGGGATAGCCACACTGCAATCCTTTCTCCTCCATTCTCCTCTTGAGATTTTGGGCAGGTGTGCATACACACCCAGTGTGACTTTTAAGCCACCAGGTCTGGGACTCAAACCACAGTTGACTATGTAGGAGTCCAGTGACATACTGGCCCCTCCTTTATTAACAGTCACTATCGTACTTAAGCAATTTCATGTCCCCTATTCCTGCTCTTTAGAAAGTAACAAAATCATTAATGAGAAAATATTCGAGGCCTAACCAGAGTTAGGCCACAGTTCTATGCCACCCATTTCTGACTTGCAAAACGGATCGTGAACTCCTACTGTGGGTGGTATAAGTTTTTATGGGGAAGGGTACAAAGAACAAGGGGGTAACTGATAGGATTTGGGTGGAGGTGGGGGGGAGGGTGACAGCACCATTGCTCAAGGCTTTACCTCTTCAGCAGCCTTCAGTTTCACATTTATATAAAGATTGGAATCATCTCTGTCGCCAACCTAGAATAATAAATACATGCAAATCAGACGATTAAAGAAAAGCAAAGTGTACAGAAAAGCTTCTGTAATTTTAGTTTTGAAAAAAAGAATGTTTAATCATGCGACTCTTGTTGCAGAGAACTTTTACAGGAGGAAAAGAAGACTGAAAAGGATGCCAATGTGAATACAGGTGGTATTACAGTTGCTCCCCCAAACAAGGCCCGTTTGATTCCCACGAAATCAGCAAAAGGAAAGAAAAAGTAGGGACTATCTGCATCTACAATGGAACCTGAGCAATGGTACGACAGGCCTACAGAAACATGCAGAATGTCTGCAGATGTTACCTGAACCACAGGACACAGACAGCAGAGAAATTGTCATGGGGCAAGGATAACATCTTACTCCGAGAGGAAGCGGGGACACACATTCCACACCCTCCCCCAGTCCCAAGGGGCAGTGGGAAGCTCTTATGTCCAGCCTCACAGAGAAGAGACCAGCATGGACCTCACAGTAGCTTACACAGAACAGACAGACACCTCCCCTTGGGCCACCTCGAAAGGTCAGCCACCTTCAAGACACCAAGCAAAGCACAGTACAGAAGCCAAATCTTTTGAACTACTGTGCTATGTCTTGTTCTCTCCATTTCTTTAAACCTGAACATATGCATAGTTTTGCATTATAACCATTTATCTATAAAACTTTATTTTACAAACTTTTTTCCATGCTCCAGTGGTTGGTATTTCTTTTCAAGGCTGAAATATGCCATCATAAGTTTGGTTTCTCCCAAAAGTACAGAGGAAAGCCTTGATTTCAAGGAGAAAGGAAGATGGCTCCTTTTAAGGGGAACATGGTAGAGAAAAAGGTGGCCTTTGTAACAGTATTTCAAGATTCTGTCATGTTGATGTCGTCACTGGAGCTTCCCACAGACCCAGAGACACGGCCTACATCTATCTGAGCATCAGCTGTCCCTCACATGGATGGTTCTTAGTTTTGCGATGCTAATTTGAATTTCAAGAAAGTCAGAAGGGTTCTTTGAAAAAAATGGATTTTTTAAATGGAGTATTGGTACCTAAGTGCATCCATTGCTCCCTGTGAAGTCTTCCCTAGCATCTTAGTGATTGTCGTGTTTCCTCTTTGGTCATTTTCTATATATATGTTCTTAGCCCCTGCCACCCAACCTCACTGACTCAGTTACCACATTTGATTCACTCCAGGATTTTTAGATCAAAGTAGGAAAGGGGGTGGCTCTAAATGCAAAAGTATTATTTTTTATATTCTCATTTATAGTTATCTCTACAATTAGTTACTGAGACTTAATTCTAAGATTAAGTCGTTTTACCACTCACTGTCAATCCTTTTTAAACTATACCTTCTCTGTTCTAGAGTTTATCTTTATTCATCGCTCAGACAGGTGAAATGCAGCTAAGGTCTTCTTCAGGACAGGAATGTGGGCATTTTTCTAAGTCTACATGTATCTGAAAAGAGTTCTGCTGTTCCCTGCACTTGAATGACCAATGGTTCATCTGGGTCTACAGCATTTTCCTTGAGAGGTGTTGTCTGGCATCTAGTGTTACAGATGAGAAGTCTGAAGTCTTTCTGTTGTTGTTGTTCCTTTACATAGAACTGCTTTCTGCCTGAATGTTTAAAGGAATTTTTCTAAAACTCCCCAAACTGCCACCAATTGCCAAAAGAATATGTATGTGAGCATGTGTCAAGGCGTTATTGTAATCATAATGCAAAGGGAAAACCCTCTCAAAAGCCAATTCAAAGAGTCACTCTCAGGACGGTATTTTATAAGGAAAAATGGTTCTAAATCACTGATAGGCTAGATGCAAAAAACGTTTCATAGAAGAACAGAAGTTTTCTTCTGAGAGAGATTTTTGCTATAGGGCACAAGTGATTGCCAGAGAGAGCCAGACAGAAAGCAAGAAGTCACTCCCCAGGGGGATGGCCACACTGCAATCTCTCCTCTCCTATTCTCTTGAGGTTTGGGGCACACACGCACAGGCGCTTGAGTTTCAAGCCTCCAGTTCCAGGATTTGAACTACGGTCGGCCATGTGGAAGGTCAGCAATGTAACCATTATGCCATCTGCTGGTCCCAAGAAGAGATTTTTGACTGGCAATCAAGTAGGTAGATACAACACTGGTTTCTAAGAACAAATTTAATCCCATTAAAGTTTATCAAGAAAATCACTGGGGGACCAGCAGATAGCATAATGGCTATGTCACTGAACTCCCATGTAGTCCACCGCCGT